AGAGAGAGAGAGAGAGAGAGAGAGAGAGAGAGAGAGAGAGAGAGAGAGAGACTCTTTTCGAAGAGAGATGCAATCGTCGCCCATGAGCCTGGCTTGTTTTTGTTCAGTTCGTCTCGTCGTTCCTGTGGAGGGTTTCTGTGGCTCCGCCGGTCCATCTTGTTTTTTGTTTTTTTATAATCCTTTTGCCCTGAAACCATCAAATTGGATGTTGTAAGCCTTGGAGTTGGAGGGGAGCTGTTGTGACCCCATTTTCATTTCTTGTACAAACCAACTGATTTGTTGTTTTTTGGAGTATTTCATGTTCGATTCGACACCCACTTGATGTCCGATGTCTTCGTGTCTCTTTCTGCCTCTTTTCTTGATGTTTAACGTTTTTCAACTTTTTCTAAAACGTTTCATTTCGTATGCTGTTATTTTACTTTGCTGTGCTTTGTAGAGGTTTGACTGTGGTGGCAGAGAGTTGGTAGGAAGATTAATCTGATTCTGATGAGTTATTTCTTTGTCTCAACTGAGATGTTTGGAGACAAAGAAAGAACTCAGATGTGGGGAAACAAAGAGACACCTCTTTAGTTTAAGTCAAAGTCTGAAATTTCAAGCCTAACAAACATAACAAATATGTGAGGTAGCGTGGTGGAATCAGGCTCTCGTCAAAATAATCAAAGTGACGAAATTTGCATTTTTCCGCAAGTTTGTGAATTTTTATCAAATTTTAGTTTTTTGGCCCAACACCTTTTATGCCCATTAAAGAACTAATTTCTGTGTGGATTTTTCTGAAAAATGTTGATTAAAGGCACAAAAAAAGTAAATTTTCAGTTACCACAGACTCTTAAGCTAAGGAAAAAAACTCATCTTTGGCGGCCATTTTCTAACTAATTTTACCTCTGAAAACAGGTGACTCCCACCTCCTTCTTTTGCAAATATCTCGACTTGTATTCAAGATTAATGGATATTTTTTTCATCCGAATAAAGACAAGTGAACAAGCTTTAGGATGATTTCAATAACCCTACATGCCCAAAAATTGACGAGAGCCTGATTCCACCACGCTGCCTCACATATGGCGTTAACAACACTCTGAGGAAAGGGATCAAATGTGAGGCAAGCTGACAAAATGAGTTACTTCTCAGAATCCATAAATGGAGCTATTTGTCAAAAAAGACGCTGACTAGTGTCAAATTTGTAGATTTTTATGGACGTCATATTCTTTAAGTATAACATGCTCTTTAATATTTCGTACTTATAAATTATACAACTTTCACCCATAAGTATAAGTGTGTTGTATCTATTTCCCATAGGGTTCAAATCCGAGAAGTAACTCATTTTGTCAGCACGCTTCACAAATCATAATGTCCCTAGTCTTCATTTTTTGCCCCTCTTTGCTCTGAAAGACTTTTCCAGTTTGTTTTGCTTGTTTGAATTTGGGAGGCATGCATTAACATGAAAACGTGAGGGACAAAAAAGTTAAAATGAAACAGCAAAGAAAATAATGATAATCAAATAACAGTCCAACAGAAATAAAATTGTGAGTCTACATGCTCTCTTGAAAGTGAAACCCTCTCGATTTCCACTGTGTGACTGCTCTTGTTTTCCCAATGGAGGGGCTCCTAGAAAGGTCTGTTGAGAGTCGGAGGTCATGCCTTGTTGAAATGTCTTCAGTGTGTGACTCACCATATTCCCCCATCGTTGTTTTAAAAAAAAGGGGGGGGGGGGAGGGTTGTTTATAATTACGAAAACGTTTTGGTAGGTCTAGTTACCAGTGACCAATTGAATACCTTTTGTTTTTGTAAGTGTTTTACGGCGCTCGCAACTGCATAAGGTCATATGAGCGCGCGGGACACACTAAACTTTTTCAGTTGGTAGGAAATTTTGAATTTTGCCCGGGTGGCGGCCGAAGCCTACTCTTATCGATTTTAGACCTCCAAGGGATCTTTAACGTGCACAACTTGCACACGGGACCTCCAGATTTTTCGCCCTTGTCCGAGAAGGCTAGGTGTAGATCTTTCCTACCAGAAGATCAGGGGTGTGGCTGAAAGACAGCAGTAAGAAGAAGCCAATGAGTAGCAGTAGAAAGGCTGCAGAAAGAATCAGGAGCCCAGAGGAGGGGGCAAAGGAGGTGAAGGGGTGGGGGGCAGAAAGAAGAGACGAAAGCAGACGACAGAACATTGCTAGAGAGTAGGAAAGGAGGTGAAAGGAGACCAATTTAGAGAAGAAAATATTTTGGTCGCTACCCGGATTCGAACCCGGGACCTTTGAATGAGAGGCCAACACCTTAACCTCTAGGCCACGAGAGCCCCCCATTGAATACCTATAAGAAGGAATTTCAGTTCCGCTTTAGAATTAAAACTCTTGGCCTAGACTTATTAGCTACCAAGACTGTTTTATCTACTAAATCGGATAAATTACGGGCACCATTATACGCCTAATAAAAAAGGTGTAAAGCAATGAGTGCTCTCAATAAAAACGCATTTTCTTCAACAACACAACCGAGAAGGTTACTCTTGGTCAATGAAAATTAGGTACTTCATTCTTACACAGCCCCCCCCCCCCTCCGAACCAGGGCAGTGTTACTGACTGAAGTTGTCTTTAGGTAATTTCAAAAGGGGGGATACAATGTATAAACAATAACATGTTCTTACGCTCAGTAGAATTGTAAATGGGCTGATTTATGTCATGCTCATACGGTGCCGGAACATCATTGGGGGAACTGCTGCTTTTTTCCCCCTCATCCTTAATATCGTCATTTCCCCTCTACTTCTTTTGCATGTTTGTCACTCTCTTCTGAACTGCTACTTCCGGGGTGCCTTGATAGTCGAAGCAGACTTTGTGCTGTTGAGGCTAGAGAGGTGAGCAGAGTAGATCTAAGCCTGATTCCCCGTTCGAACTTCTCTGTTGACATCCACCCCTTGGCGCTCACATTACCTTATTCAGTTGCGACCGCCGTAAAACTTTACTAAAACTATATTATTCTTACACCGTGTTTGTTAAAAGCCTATATTGTTTCCTTTTTTTTCTCGTGCTTCGCTTTAATTGATTTTAGAGAATGGTATGCAATAGACCAAAATGATGACGAAGTGCACGACATAGGCCAAAATGGTGGACAAAGGACTTCCGCTCAGAAGAATTCAAACAAATGGATGCTAACATTATTGTTGTGAGCTCTTCATTTTCTAATACGAAACGTTTTGAATATACTCTTGTTCCGGTGTTTGTTTTGTGAGTATTAGTTATAGTAACCCCACATTCCTTTTATAATTTTCTACTCTTGCCTGTCTTAGAATTTCTTTGGCATGGCAGTGGTTGGTCGTGAAAAGCTTTAGAGTTTCGCAGAGAGAGAGAGAGGTTTGGTGCACATCTCTTCCTCATCTTGAGTCGGTTATCTCCGATGCTTTCTACGGGGTAGCTGTTAGTTTATAGACTAGGGTGAATCACAGTAAAGCCACATTTCACCAAAAAATCGGTAAGGCTAATGGAGACGTTGAAAAGAGATAGAATTGGATAACTGTTACCATGTTTTTAACCCGTACTGCGCTCAAAATCCTCAGAAATGAAGTTTACTAAGTTACAATATTTCGTCTATTACCAGCCCAAAATGGATTACGACTGAATCACAGTTTGTTCCCCGTTTGTGCCCATGATTTTATGACATAAAAGCTTTACCTTTTCAAGTACAAGATAGGAAAGAACACAGATGCGGCGGTCTTGATCTGAGATTTTCATAATTCTATTTTCTCTTTCCACCCAGGAGAAGAGAGCTGTGCAAATGACGGTGACTGATCTTTGCTAATTTTCAAGTCTTCACTATGGAATCTTTGACCACATTAACACACGAGGTGCCTCATCCAGAAAATGTTGTGTGGGCTCCTCCTGCATACGATGAACAGCACCACTTGTTTTTTTCGCACGGGCCCGTCTTGATTGGTATCGTCGGGTCGTTGATCATTACTGTGGCAATGGTAGGAAATGTTCTTGTGTGCTTGGCAATTTTCACAGAGCCTATTCTCTCCCACAGCAGAAGCAACTTTTTTATCGTGTCCCTGGCAGTTGCCGACTTACTGCTCGCTCTCCTGGTCATGACGTTTGCCTTAGTCAACGACCTGTACGGTTACTGGTTGTTTGGAGAAACCGTCTGCTTCATCTGGATGTCTGCAGACGTGATGTGCGAAACTGCGTCCATCTTCAGTATCTGTGCCATTAGCTACGATCGCTTGAAGCAAGTACAGAAGCCACTTCATTATGAGGAGTTCATGACTACTACTCGGGCTCTTTTGATAATTGCTTGTTTGTGGATTTGTTCATTTGTCGGGTCTTTTGTACCAATATTTCTGGAATGGCATGAGCGATCAGTGGAAGAAATCAAAGCCAATTTCAAAGGTAGCGGTTCGGACAAAGACCGAGTCAAGAAAAAAGCTGCTGAAGCACAGACGTTTTCGCCCACTTCAAATCAAAGTTCGGGAGCCGTGCAAAAACTGAACACAAAACCCGAGTGTCTTTTCGATGTACACTTCACCTGCTCGGTTATCTATTCCTTTATTTGTTTTTATATCCCGTGCACAATAATGCTCACGAACTACTTCCGCCTGTTTTTAATTGCCCGTAAACATCGGCACCGGATAAACAGCATCAAACCCCAAGTGAATGGCGGTGTACAACAGCCCAGAAGTCAAAGGACTAGCTTCAACCGGAAATGTGGAGTGCGTGGCAGTAAAGCAGCCCGGACTCTCACGATCATCACAGGAACTTTCCTGGCGTGCTGGCTGCCCTTCTTCATCATCAACCCAATTGCTGCAATAGATGAGCACCTCATCCCATTGGAATATTTCATGGTGACCATATGGCTTGGCTATTTCAATTCTTGCGTCAATCCCATCATTTATGGGACTTCCAACTCTAAATTCCGAGCTGCTTTCAAACGCCTTCTCGGTTGTCGTTCTGTTAGGGGAAATGTTCGCGGCTTCTCCCCCCGCAGATCTATTTATAGGGCGTTCTCGTGGATACAGCCCAGCCGCTTAGACTTCACGCCAAGTCGACGCTGTAGTAGGACGGTTAGCTGTAGTTTCCACTCAGATACACGAGAGGTGGACAAGAACAGCGATGGAGGCAATAGTGTCAAAGCTGAACCCTCAAAGTCCGAGGTCATCATAACTGAACAGGAATCCTCATATAACTCCTCCTAAAATGAGTCTATGAAACAGTAGAATATGGAAAATGGATAGAAAAGTGACAACACTGGATTTAGTTTCGTCCAACAGCAGTGATTGAACAATAGATGTTGCTCGATACTGTGCAAAAAACACCAACCTTATGAATAGAATCACAATATAAGGTTTGTGACACATAATAACAACATTTTTAAAGATATACTCGCCGGCAAAAGTAATGCGAAGTCGCATGACACAAGAAGAGGAGAGTAAATTGAAGCAATATTTGTATTAAGAGAAACAGGTTTGAGGTGTCTCAGTTTGCACAAAACATTGCTTGAGAGTTGGGGGTTTGCTTAGGGGCAGATTTTGTTATTCGGCATCAATGACCTTGACCTTGGGGCTTTAGTTCCAGTCAGTATCCAGTATGGCCCCCATTAGCGTTGATGACACCAGTGCCTCGGGGGGTACATAGAGTGGACCAAGCGATTGATTTGGCAGTCGGGGACCTGCACCCGCTCCTGAAAAATAGCAGCACCCAGTAGTACAGCTGTCCGGGGTCTGGGCTGGAGTTGATTGAGACGCCTCTGAAGGATCCCAAAGGTGTTCTATTGGGTTCACATCTGGTGATCGGGGTTGGTTAGGCATGGTGGGCATGTTGTTTTGTACCAGGAACTGCTGGGTAGCACGTGCTGTATGAGGCCGGGCATATCCTGCTGAAAGAGATGGTTTTGATGTCGCTGGAAAAATGGAGCAACATGGGGCTGCAGGACTTGATTGATGTAGCCCTGCGCCGTCATTCCGTTGTCACATCCAGGTCCTAAATGTTGGAATATTATGGAACCCAGTCTTTGACTGATACCGATTGCGCCCCATATCATCACGCTTTGACCTCACCCACGGGTCTCTCTCCCAGATGTTCTCGTCAGAGTAGCGTTGTCCGGAGAGGGCCAAATTCGGACCCGTCTATTGTCAGAATCGATGCAGAAGCGACTCTCGTCACTGAAGATCACACAATGCCACTGTCGATGAGGCCAGTTAACGGGGTTCTGAGCCCACTGGAGACAAGCTCGTCGATGATGGACGTTCAGGGATGCTCTCTGCTCCGGACCACGACAATGCAGCCCCTGGCCACAAGTCGGCGGCGTATGGTGCGGTCACTCACGACTCTATCGTGCGTTCCTATGGTGTTCTGGGCTGTCTCGGAGGCAGACAACCGTGGATCTCGGCGATGCTGACGCACGACGAAGCGGTCTTAGGCAGCTGTTGTCAGCTGAGGTCTTCTGCTTCTTTGGAGATCTCTCGTGGAGTTGGTTGCCTGGAATCTGTTTTACGGGCGGTAGATAGTGCTGCTGCTGGCATGCACTCGTAGGACTGTAGTCACTTGCTGAGGGCTCGTGCCGGCTTGCAGACATCCAATAGCTCTTTCTCGATTTTCCCGTACCAAAAACTCTCTGGTCGTACTTTGTAACACTCAATCCCAGACCAATTTAACATGTGAGCAAGAATTCACGACTCAATTCACGTTTTAATTGCATACCACTGAGAGGGTTACTTTGTTGTATTGTTTGATGCATAATGAGCGGCCAATGAGCATGTTGTGTTTTTTAAATGGAGCCAATCCAATAACAAGAACACATTGCGAATAGAGACAAATGAAAACAACTCACGAAAATACTCAGTTTTGTTTTCTACACATGGTGTTACTTTTTCGCGTTATTTATGCGGGTCAGTATATAATAATATTATTAAATGTCCCCTACACGAATGTTTGATTTAAAAAAGCAACAAAAAACAAACAAACAACCAAACAACAAAGCAAACAAGAAAAAAAAAATAGGGTAAAAAGAAGAATACAACAAAAGACAATGCTCACAGTGAGCAGACCTTGAAATAAAACCTTAATACATTTCTGTTTGCAGGGTAACAACACCGTTTTAAGATAAACAAGTCGAATAGTGACTCCTCTCTTCCCCCCCCCCCCAAAAAAAAAAAAATCTGTTAAAAATAGCAGGAAACCAAATGAATAAAAATGGAAATAAAAGTCTGTACCCGACTTAATTTTTTCATAACGATTTCTCAGTTACAACTGTTGCACGTATACGTTGCTCCTCTGCGTTCGTTACAACATTCTAATACATCGGCATCGTCCCTGATCTTTTCTCTCCTTTTTGTTCAGAACGATCTTTCCCTCTTGTATACTAGTTTGTACTTTTATATTCAGACATGTGCATCACTATTAATTATTACTATGACGATCCGTTTGTGAAGAAGGAAAGTGGGTGGTTGGCGGGTGCTCTGGTGTGGTTTGCTCCTTCTTTCCTATCAAACATCTATCGTCTTTATCTCCCCTCCTTCTTTTTTGTGTTTGTTACTCTCTTGTAACGCCTCTAATCTTCGGCACTTATATGACCTTATTGTGTTGCAAGTGCCGTAAAACTCTTACGAAAACTAAAAAAGAAGAAGGAAACTTGAAAACAGACATCATCATCCGGTGCCTTGCCGACTGGCGTAGGCGATCATGGACCTCCACTTCACCCTGTCCTGCGCTACAGCAATGGTGTCTGTTGTTCTTGCTGCTCCCAACCATGTCGTCGTCTTGTCCTGTATTTTTTCCCTCTGTCTGCCTCTGCCTCTGCCTCTGCCTCTGCCTCTCTTTCCAATCTTTGTTTATTGAAGTGTTATGATCCATAATGTTCTAGGGAAAGAATACAGCAGTGGTTTTCCCTTGCCTTCTGCTAGATTTGTGTACGGTTTACTCCACTAGCCTTTGTCCAAAAGGACTAACCCACAAGGCAGTGGCGGCAGGTGGCAGGTTTCGGCGCCTACCTCTCGCCTGACAGTCTCTTTACTGAGCACATGAGGTATTTTATAGAGACAGGATTGCCACCACCCTGTTCCACCTCGCACTCCAAGACAACAGACACACAGACATAATATCATAAGGTATCAAAAGAAGTAAAGCCCAATTTGCAACTACCTTCCCCCCCTCCTTTTATTCCCCTTGAATGTCTTGCAAGTTTCGTTGAGTGAGACTGAGATGCACTTTGGGGAAGACAATAAAATTGTGAGGCAGCGTGGTGGAATCAGGCTCTCGTCAAAATAATCAAAGTGAAGAAACTTGCATTTTTTCGCAGGTTTGTGAATTTTTATCAAAGTTTTGATTTTTGGCTCAACACCTTTCATGCCCATTAAAGAACTCATTTCTGTGTCGATTTTTTTGCAAAACGTTGATTTAAGGCACAACATAATGTAAATTTTCAGTTACCACGAACTCTTAAGCTAAGGAAATAGCTAATCTTTGGTGGCCATTTTCTCACTAATTTTACTTCTGAAAACAGGTGACCCCCACCTCCTTCATTCGAAAATATCTCAGCGTGTATTCAAGATAAATGGATATTGTTTTCATCCAAATAAAGATAAGTGAACAAGCTTTAAGATGATACCAATAACTCCACATGCCCAAAAATTGACGAGAGCCTGATTCCACCACGCTGCCTCACAACTATTGAAAAAGCGAAAACATGTTCAAGAGTAAAAGTACAATAATGTAGTGCAGAGCCCTGATGAAAGCTCCAGTGTCACTGTAGTATGTTAACACCTTCACCGAACAGATTACTTCCGGAAACGAAGGTTTCTTTCTTTTGACCAGCATCAATAAAACGTATTTCCAAATACAAATTTCAATACAGTTCTAGGTCATTTTAATTATAGAGGAACCACATTTTCTATGGTAAGCCCTGCTCCGGGCTCTTATTCGCCCTCTCTACAAGAAGCCTTTATAGCAGAAGGGTCCTGCCACTTTCTCAGAACGTTCAGTTTATCGCGGAAAAAAAGCTCTCCAGGGTGGGTATTGTCGTCAGCAATTTTTTGCCCCCAGTGCAAAGAGCAAAGAGAAGTATCGAGTACGCATTAAAATAAAACGAATTTCAAATACACAGATTGTTCAGTTGCTCAGGATAAAATGGAAAACGGGAGCAACAAGTATTGCCAGAACGTGGCTGTTAGACTTCATACACTTCAAAAGCCAATGTCTACTCAGCTCAAATCGATGACAATATCATGTTACCGATTTACGTATTTGCAGAAATAAAAAGTGTTGTAATGATGATGTATAGGCCAAAAGCTTTTGAAATCAGGAAAATCATTTTGAAATACGCTCTCTTTGGGTTTTTTAAAATATTTTCACTTTTTCCTAGATTGAATCCTGGCTCCAAAAAAATAGAAATTAGAGAAGTGTTTAGTTTTAGTAGAGGTTTTACGGCGCTCGCAACTGCATAAGGTCATATGAGCGCCAGAAGATTAGAGGTGTTACAAGAGAGTAACAAACATAAAAAAGAAGGAGGGGAGATAAGGACGATATATTTTTTTATAGGAAAGAAGAAGCAAACCACACCAGAGCACCCGCCAACCACCCACTAGAGAAGTGGCCAAACGGAAAAGTAATAGGCCTGGAGAAGAAATATGCCATTCTTTTATGCCAAGGAGATTATACTAGTTGTTATAGCGTATGTGAAGCAACACAGCAGATGGGTAATGCTTGGATAACTGACTACATGTATACATGTATTATTTAGCCCTAACGAAAAAGCTTCAGTATGTCACAGTATGTGAGCCAGAGGCCAAACCTGTACAGGTAGCACTAGCTCCTATTTGGTTGGGTTTTTAAAAAAAGGAAAACGTTCTGGTACTTGTGCTGTAGATAATATGTACGTCAATGAGCGCATGTAAGACAAACTATTAGTTCAGAGCCGAATAAATAGGCCTATTTTGCTATCCAGACTAGACATCTTGGCTGCTTCTAAAAGATCAAGATCAAATAGTTCACCATGGTATGCTTCTGCCTTGGGGGCTCCTCTGGTCTAGAGGTCCGGTGTTCACCTCTCTTTCAACAGGACCGGGGTTCGAAACCTGACAACGACGGAAAAGTTTCTTCTTTAAAAAGAGATCATTTCACCTTTCCTGCTCTACCGTCTGTTTTTTTCTCTCCACTTTCTGTCCCCCCCCCCCCCCCGTTTGGCCCCCTCCTCTGGGCTCCTGACTCTTTCTGCTGCCTTTCTACTGCTACTCCTTGGCTCCCTCCTACTGCTATTTTTCAGTCACACCCCTTATGAGGAGGTGGAGGTGGTAAGTTCTTAAAAGTACCTGTATCTTGAAATAACAATTGATAACAAGCTTGACTGGCATCTCCACGCTGCCCTTGTGCATAAAAGGTAAATCAAAGAATGATTCTTTTTTTTATGGAAATTAAGAAGTCTTCGTGTCGATAATAAGATTAAGACCCTTTTATACCATCCAACGATTGAAAGCGTGCTATTATTTTGTATTTGCTGCTGGGCAGGGAATTGTGGGGTGAAAGATAAAGAAAACTTCGATAGAACCATTACGAAAGATCCCTGGATATGATTTTACTAGAATTGATGAAATGTAGAACACCACATGTATAAAAAAAGATAAAAGTATTATAAACGACCTATCACACCCTTTTTCCACGCAAATTGTAAGAGCACGCAGCGGCAGATATGTTCCTCTGAAACAAAGAACGTTTTTTACCATCTAGCATAGGGCTATTGTCAGAATAAGCATCAATGTGAAGAATATTGCTCTTTCGAGTATGAATCTCTATAACTCCTAAGGTCTTGTATTTAAATTCCTGCATGTGGTTGAATGATGCATCTGGTGTGATATGTGCATTTTGTCAGCTTTACTTCTCTTTTCATATTGAATTTTAATGAGAGTAATATATAATTTAATTATTTAAAAGAATACCTGCTTGTGTTTTTACGGTCCTCTACAGCCAAAAATAATTTCCGTCTGGGACAATAAAGTATTACACGTATCTTATCTTATCTTGGGATAGGTAAATTCTAACATCTTGCCTCTCAGGCTCTTGTTGGAGATCCTGAGAGCCAGTTGTGCAAGTTAAAGTTTCCTTGGTGGTCCTAAATTCGATAGGAGTAGGCTTCGGCTGCCACCGGGGCAAAATTCAAAATTAATTCCGACCAAACTGCACTAAATGCTTTGAGTGTTCCCCGCGCTCATGTGACCTCATTATGCAGTTTGGAGCGTCGTAAAACACTTAGATTTGTTTTAGTAGATGTTTTACGGCGCTCGCAACTGCATGAGGTTTATACAGTTGCGAGCGCCGTAAAACAAGGTCATATGAGCGCCAAGGGGTGGATGTCAACAGAGGAGTCGTTACAGAGAATCAGACTTACTCTGCTCACCTCTCCAGCTTCAACAGCACAAAGTCCGCTTCGACTATCACTATATCAAGGCACCCTGGAAACAGCGGGCTACAATAGTGTGACAAACATACAAAAGAAGTAGAGGAAAATGACAATAGTAAGTATTAGGAAAGAAAAAGCAGCAGCTCCCTGGTGCAGGTCAGGCACAGTTATGAGCGTGACATTGTTGGATCAGCCCATTTACAATTCCAATTCTACTGATAACGCCCCCTCCCCTTTTGGGAATGGCCCTAACGACACTATAGTCA